ATCACTACGGACTAGGCTTCCCTAATTATGCTATGACCACTCCTGCTCTGAAGCACCAACAGGTTTTGCATGCACGTGGGCTGGTCTTAAGGATTTGGTTAGGAGCTCTTTCAAGATTATAATAGGACCTTCAAGACACAGTCTTTGTGGGCTTCACTAACAAGACCCTTAGTGGGAATATATTTTGCACCAGAGGATTAAGAATTTGAAGTTGGACCGCCATTTTGTGGATGCCAGTGGGGAGCGAGAACATCTGTGAGACCAAGGCTGGAGCCTAGCAAGAAGACCCATTCAAGCGAGTATTTTCAACCCATTGCTCTCAAGTGGATTTGAATACATAGTGACCCTACATTGTTGTTGCTGTTGTTGTTAGTGACGTTGAGTTGGTTCCAACTCACACTGACCCTATGTACAAAAGAATGAAACACTACTGGTCCTGCACCATCCTCACGATCATTTCTAGGCTTGAACCCACTGTTACAGCCACTGTGTAAATCCAACTTATTGAGGGGCTTCCTCTTTATCTCTGACCCTCTACTTTACCAAGTATGATATCCTTCTCCAGGGACTGGTCCATCTTGATAACATGAACCAAGTATGAGAGACAAATCTGGCCATTTCACTTCTAAGGAGCATTCCAGCTGTACCTCTTCCAAAAGAGATTGCCCATTCTTTGGGCAATCCATGGTATATTCAATATTCTTCACCAACACCATAATTCAACTGCATCAGTTCTTCTATGGTCTTCTTTATTCATTGTCCACCTTTCACATGCATATGAGACAACTGAAAATACCATGTATCAGACAGTGTTTCACCACTATTCATAAGGTTTTCAGTAGCCAATATTTTCAGAAGTGGACTGCCATGTCCTTCTTCCTCGTCTGTCTTAGTCTGGAAGCTCTGCTGAAACCTGTCTACCATGGGTGACCCTGCTGATATTTGAAATACTGGTGGCATAGCTTCTAGCCATCACAGCAGCACGCAAGCCACCACAACACAACAAACTAACAAACAAGTGATGGATAGAACTATAAAAACTAATATAAGTAAAAAATTATAAAATGATTGTAGAGATGTAAACATTAATATCATCCACAGGGAAATGAAATATGTTTTCCTGAAAGAAGAAAACTACTATTTGTTGTTGTTGTTGTTGTTATGTGCCGTTGAGTCAGCCCTGACTCATAGCGACCCCTCCTTGGGTTTCCGAGGCAGTATCACTACGGAAGTAGGATTGCCCAACCTTCCTTCCGAGGAGTGGCTGGTGGGTTTGAACCGCCAGCCTTCTGGTACTATTTAGTACTACTCTAATACAAAAAAAAAAAAAAAAAGACAGTGATATCAATGCAAACCAGCATTTATATGGATGTTCAGACTAAAAATGCATTTTCTGAATGGTCAGAGATCTTTATGCCTTAAAGTCAGTTTAAAATTGTTTTGGACAGTATAGTGACACGATATGGCTGATAACTTCATTTGAGGTGTGAAAATATTCATATAAATAACTTTCACTAGCAGATAGTCTATCACACAAAAAAACAAACATACAAAGAAACAAGATATCATGATCAAGAACCAGGAGACCCACAAACATTTTAGAATTACACAGATCAGAAATGACTATATAAAACGTGACTTGGAACAAAGTTCTAAAATAAATCAATAGAGCTTCTAGAAATAAAAAGAATACAGTAACTCAATACTCAATGAATAGTCTTGGTAGCAGAGGAGATAGAGCAGAAGAGAAAAATTGCTGAATAAAAATATATACTAGAAAAACTTACCCAGAATGAAAAAAAATATCTACAGACATATCTTAAAACAAAAAGATGGAAACTTCAGACTGTAAGAAATATTCAGAATAAAATAAGACCAACATATATTTAACTGAAACTCTAAAAGTTGTTCAGGGATAATGGCAAAAAGGTCATGGTTAGGTAACTTAAAAAGATAATGGTTAAGATAGCCACAATCATCATCTCAAGACATTTGCCAGATTTTGAAGTTGTGTGGGTGGGAGTCTAAAGGGCTGCGCTCAAGATCTCAGAAAGACAGCTGTATTTCCTGTTATCTTTTGGGGCTGAGGATCTTAATTAGAAGCCCAAGAGGTTCACACGCAAGAAACGGAAGAAAGCAAAATGAAGCCAGAGTTAATTAAAAAGCTACAACCTAGGCCCATCGCAACTCAATTGCTACTGAATCATAGTGATCAAACCTTTATCCATTTAACAGAGGAAAGGACAAAACTTATCAGGTGGAAACTAACATCACCTATAGCCTCTATAATTCTTTTTACAAAGTGTGGTATACAATATAAAATACAAAGAGGCAAGAAAACATGACCAATAATCAAAAGAAAAAGCAGGCAGTAGAAACAAACTTATAGATGACTCAATTATCGGTGTAAGATTTTAAAATAAGACTAACATGTTAAAGAAAATAGACGAAAAGACAGGCAAATAAATGAAAGGATAAAAAATTATACCAGTAAATAGAAATATATATAAAGAAACACATGTAAAATGTCTGAAAGGAATAAAAGTTCTAGTATTCTAAGAAGGTGCCCTGGTGGCTCAGTGGTTAAGTGTGTTCAGCTGCTAACCTAAAGGTCAGAAGTTCAAACCCATCAGCCACTAAGCAGGAGGAAGATGTGGGCAGTCTGCTTCTTTAAAGATTACAGCCTTGGAAACCCCATGGGGCATTAGTACTCTGTCCTATAGGGGTTGCTGTGAGTTGGAATAGATTTGACAGCAATGGTTGTGGTTTATTTATTTTTTTAATATTCTAGAAGGAGCCCTGGTGGTACGATGGTTAAGTGCTCAACTCCTAGCCAAAAGGTCAGTGGTTCAAATCACCAGCAGCAGTAAGGAGCTGGTAATCTGTTTCTGCAAAGATTTCAGCCTAGGAAATCCTATGGGACAGTTCTACTCTGTCCTATAGGGTCATTATGGTTTAAATACAACAACACACAACAACAATATCCTAGAAGTGTCAAGGAAGTGGTAAAATAATATTTTTATTAGATTATAATAAATCAGTGACACCTGTTGTCATCTCTAAGGTAACCACTAGAAGATTGGTAAAAGAATGTATAACTAATAATCTAATAGAAGGAAAAATGAAATAATAATAATTATTGACTAATCAAAAAGAAGACAAGAAAGTAGGGGACAAAATATAAAACAAAACGGCCAAAAAGGAAATAAGTAGTAAGAGGAAAGATACAAGTCTAATTATATCAGTGATTGCATTAAATATGTATGGGCTAAATAATTGAAATAAAAAGGCTAAGCTTGTCAAACAGATTTTAAAAAACAAACCACAACTATAGTCAATTCTCATCATTTGCAAGGGACATGAAAAGTCAATTCCCAAGAAAGAAATGCAAATGATAATAAACATTTGAAAATATATTTGACATTATGTGCACGTGAAATAAATTCATATTAAAATGATAATTAGTCATTTTAAACTGTTGTTTTGTCAAAAATGAGAAGATACAAAAAATTATAACAGTCATTATTGACAAAAGTAAGGGGAACAAGCAGTTTTATTTACCACTATAATAAAATAATGAAAAATTTGGGGAATATAAAAGAAATTTATGTATATATACATATACATATATATATATATATTATGTATATGTATATATACATAAATTTTGTTTTATTCAACCCAGGAATCTTACTAACAGGAATTTATCTTATAGAAATACTTTAAGAATAATGGAAAAACATTACTAGAGAATTTTCCTTTTTACATTTGATTGTATTATAGTAAATCTAGAAACAATCTAAATTCCATTAAAAGGAGTATGGCTCAATAAATTATATTTTTCTTCTATAACAGAACACTAGGCAGCCAAACAAGATCCAAACAAAGGATCTTTCCTGCAGGACCATGAACGATGCAGGGTGCAGAGCTTCCTGGGTTCACCTCCATTTAGAATGAGAAGGGTAGTTAGGACCAAATGACAACTTGCCAAAGGTTCTATTCTAACAGAACCTGTACACCCATTATCAGGTACAGCTTCTTTGTTGGAACAAGAAGTCTTTAATGAAAGTTGCTTTGCTCAAGGAGTAAAGAAAGACAGGGATGACGTGCCCTGGTTCCTGCCATCCTGAGACACCCTTCATGTAAGAGCTAGCTTCCCTGAGATCACTCGCCGCAGGGCTCCCTGCACATCAGGGTTCCTAAGGCTGTAGATGAGTGGATTAAGCATGGGGCTAATGACAGTGTTGAGGATGCCAATCCCCTTGTCCTTGTCTGAAGCCTCAACAGAACCCAACCTCATATAGCTAAAGACACCTGTCCCATAGAAGATGCCTACCACGGTGAGGTGGGAACCACATGTGGAGAAGGCCTTCTTCCTGCCTTCAGCAGAGCGTATTCGCAACACTGCAGCTGCCACATGGATGTAGGAAGAGACAATGAGAATCACAGGTGCACCTGCCATGAGGATACCCAGACCAAAGAGCAGCAGCTCATTGAGTTGGGTGCTGGAGCAGGAGAGCTGGAAGAGCTGTGGGAGGTCACAGTAGAAGTGATTGATCACATTGGGGCCACAGAAGTTTAGTGTGGATATAGCTACAGTGTGGGTCAATGCATTGCTGAAGGCACAAGCCCAGGACACAGTCACCAATATTTTCTGGACTACCTGGCTCATGTGGGTGCTATAAGTGAGGGGCCGGCAGATGGCCAGGAAGCGGTCATAGGCCATGGCTGTCAACAGAAAGCAGTCCACACCAGCCAACTGATGGAAGAAGAAGAGTTGTGTGAGGCAGGCTCCATAGGGAACCGTACGCTTGTGGGACAGGAGACGACTCAACATTGAGGGAACAGTTACAGTGATGCACCCAACATCCAGCACTGACAGGTTCCCCAAGAAGAAGTACATGGGAGTGTGGAGTTTGGGCTCCACCAAGATGGCGGCCAGGATGCTGAGGTTGCCCCCAACTGTAACAATGTAGGCAAACAGGAAGAGCACAAAGACAAGTGGTCGCAGCCCCGGTTTGTCCACAAGGCCCAGCAAGATGAACTCAGTAACGACTGTTCCATTGGTCCCACCATCTGGTTCCATGAATCCCTGTAAGAAGACATCCCAAGATGGAAGGGATCAATCTTATCAATTCAGTTATTCAATAAAAATATATGATTCACTCCATATGCCAAGCCCCAAGGTAAATTCTCAGATGTCCTAGTGTGTATTTTCCCACTCCTCAGTTTATACCTCCCTCATTGATCTTCTATTTACGTTCATTTCAATGTCCTTACCCTATGCCAAGCTAAGAAGCCTGATGCCACCACCACCTTCAACTTCTCTCCCTTCTCATTCAATGTACATAGATATTTTCTTCTTTTGTTTTCTAGAATCAAGGAATGAGTTTCTCCTGCTAAGGACCTATATGAGAAGAATTGAGGACAAAATTAATGCTAAAAGTATAAACGACTCATAGCGACCCTTGTTGGGTTTCCGAGGCCATAAATCTTTACGGAAATAGATTGCCCCTTCTTCCTTCCATGGAGCGGTTGGTGGGTTTGAACCGCAAACTTTCTGGTTAGCAGTCAAATGCCTTAAGCATTGCATACCAGAGCGCCTTAAAAGTATAAACGATAGATAAAAAATATAAAGGAAACAGAAGAACTGATCATAAATTATTATAAATCTATTAAAAAGAAATAAACAATTTTCTAGCAAATCTAAGGAAGAAGAGATGTAAGTATACACAAAATGAAGAATTAAAAAGACATGATAACCGCAAACCAAAAATAAATCTGAATGATCCTGGAATACTCTCTGCTCTGAAATAAGAACAATCTATTCAAGAACGGTCCCCCAAACTAAATTAACGACTGAACAAAAAAAAGGAAGGAAGAAAGAAAAAACAGAAACACTATCACTGTTGATTTCCTCTTCTTGGTACTCCTACTCTGGTTAGGGAAAATGTCAGACCTTAGAAAAAAGAAGGTCCAGAGACAAGGTGGGAGCTGGTGAGGCATTTAAGGGCGCACTCTGACCTCACTTGGCATCTGAACTCTACGTCTGAAATGTCACAAGACCAAAAAATTCATGTGTAAATTCCAGGTTCATACACTTCTTATACAGATTATTTAAACTATCAATGTAAAGATCATTCCACAACATGTAAGATTTCCCTAGATTGGAAAAAAATAAAATCCTTCCAGTTCAATTATATTTCAATAAAATGTATTTTTAAAAAGCATGTTAATAAGTTTAAAAAGAGGAAATTTTCTGTAAGTGATTATAAATATCAATACCCATTCCTGATGCACAGAAAAAAAAAAAAAACACCATTGTAGTTAACTTCTTGTTGTTGTTATGTGCCGTCCAGTCTGACCTGACTCATAGCAACCCCTCCTTGGGTTTCCGAGGCAGTATCACTACGGAAGTAGATTGCCCCACCTTCCTTCCAAGGTGGCTGGTGGGTTTGAACCACCAGCCTTCTGGTTAGCAGTCAAGTGCCTTGGGCACTACTCTACCAGAGCTCCTAGGAATAGTACTCAAAGGAAATATCACTCAGTTCTACTAACTGGTAGGAATATGTGAGCTTTTCCTTTCTTTCTTTCTTTTTTTTTTTTCTTCTGTTGCTTTCAAATGACCTACAATGAATTGCATTACTTTTATTATAATGATTTTTAAATGTTCTGGTTTCTCCAGATTACAGACATCCTTAAAGATGGCCATAAGGATTCCGGATGGCATAGTGATTAAGTGCTCCACTGCTAACTGAAAGGTCAGTTGTTCCAAACTACCAGTCACTACATGGGAGGAAGACGTGGCTGTCTGCTTCTGCAGTGGCCTGATTGGAGGAGTATAACGGGTGCAGACAGCACCAGGTGACACTGTCGGAGGCAGTGACACCAAAATGAACGTCTCTATTTTTTGTGCAGTGTTTCAGCAGAAATGTATTCTTTTTTTATTAAAATATACCTATAGTTAGTTATAGGCGCTCTGGTGGCATAGTGGATAAGGCAATTGGCTGCTAACCAGAAGGTCAGCAGTTCAAACCCACCAGCTGATCTGCAAACGGAAATGGGGCAATCTACTTCCCTAAAGATTTACAGCTTTGAAAACCAATGTGAGTAACTATGAGTCGGAACTGACTCGATGGCAGTGAGTTTGTTTGTTTTTTTTGTATAGTTAGTTATAACAACAAAAACATTTTTCATAGGCTCAGGTTACATGTATTAATGTACCTACAAGGCTACAACTCCATGATAACTCACTTTTGGAACTTCTAATGAGTTCCATCAGAGCCGTCGTATTACCCAATTATACTGACACTTCAAATCATGTGGTTTTGTCTGCACATGCAAAAACATATGCTATTGTTTTTGTTGCTGCTGGTGTTTTTATAGTCTCTCATTTTGTCAATTTTCTGGTTTTATTGTGGTCATTAGTATTTGTGAATCTTTATAACTTTTTAGAGAATGAAGTAGCAATTAAAGAAAAAGGAGAAAAAAATCAGAAAAGGGCTTCCACTCAGTTACTAATAATGTTGCAGTTCAATGTAGAAAGATTTTACAGAACAGTTTTGTTGTTGGTACTCATATAATCTAAGAAGTTATGTTTTAGGAATTTACAACTATATTTATCATGTATTATTCTATGATTGAAGCTAACAGTAAACATTACTAAGGATTCTGTATGGTCTGGTATGGCAGGAGGTGGGGGAGGTGACACCAACCCTGGTGACAGCGTTGGGCTTCTGTAAACATTCAAGTCTTTGAAACTCTATGAAACCGCTCTCCTCTGCGCTACAGGGTCACTATGAGTTGGAATCAACGCAATGGCCATGAGTTGGGTTTGGTTTTGGTAAAGGCTAGCTGTAGTAGCTCGATGGCATCACTTCTCTGTTGCATTTCCAACAGTTCAGTGTGCTGGTACCCAGAAGGTTAAATAAAGATTATATCACACATATCTCAGATTGACTCATTGTTCTATGAAATAACAAAATAACATTTACTCCATTAAGGAAACTAAATGGAGTCTGTTAGTAACTTAAAACTTAAAAGTCTGTTAGTAACAGTCAACTTGCTTACCAGTTTCTGCCAAAATTAATTTCTTTGGCACTTATGGAGGCTTGTGGTCTGCTTTATTCTTTGTGCACATGCGTTAGCAGAAGATGGTTGTTTCAAGAGTAGGATTATCTCCTGTTTATCAAAATAATTCCTTTCTTTGATTTTTTTTCCTGTCTTTTTGATGGATCTTTTAAAAGAGAGGGAGTAACCAGCTGACACACTGGGTGTGTGTAAATACATATATTTTTTAAAGTATAGTTAAAAGTATCATAGATACATATGTCAGAGACTGATGTCTTGGAAATTGTTTATCATGACTTGGGAATAATTAAATAGGTTTCTAAATATCATGAAACACTTTAAATTCAAGACATAGTGTCACTTTCCTATTAATAGCATAAACACTGCGTCATGGTGGGAGTCTCCTATCCAGGGTAATATTCAGCTGGAATCCATTGATATGGAGTAGCTATCTGGTTCCTGTTAAATATTTTCATTATCACCTCTGCCCACACCAGTGGCTTTCTCAGTATACATAACTGTATTCAATATACCCTGTATGTATGTACAGTGTCATTGAGTCAAAGAAGCAACAAGTTGGATATGATCTTGTAGAGTACTGTTGTTGTTGTTGTTATTTGCCGGCGAGTCAGACCTGACTCATAGTGACCCCTCCTTGGGTTTCGGAGGTGGTTATCACTACGGAAGTAAATTGCTCCACCTTCTTTCCGAGGAGGGGCTGGTGGGTTTGAGC